TATTTTTAAATAGACATTTCAAAATGAAAATATTGGATAGATGATGATGGAGCAAAGACTATAGGTAAAAAAGAAATTGCAAATATTTTCACCGAATTGGCGTTAAAAAAAAAGGGAGAAAAGTAATGAAAGAAGAATTGAAGAAACAAGGAGAAATAGAGGACGTTGAAAGATAAACATATCAATGATTTAGTTTACTACATTAATGAACTAGTTAAACTTTATATTGGTTAGTTTTCATATCAGTACATTATTAAACATATCAGTACATGAGTTAGTTTGATTTATCAATACATTACATAAACATATCTATTAATTTAGTTATGTATGTATGTTTAACATTTTTTTTGTAGGAGTTTAATTTAAATTGTAAACATGATGCTTAAAGTAAAGTAATGGAGAAAATTATAGAGGATGAAAATGTCATTGTGTAACACCCCCAAATCTCCCTGTAAAGAAATACCAGTATAACACGTATAAATATACCATAGAGATGGATTTAGGAGTATTACCGCCGCGTGATTACGCAAGGCTACTCAAACTACTTAACTCAATAACAAAACTTGTTGCGGAAAACTCAAATTTCTTTTATTAATACTTATAAAAATAGTAACATTGCTATGAGTCTCAAAATAAAGACAAAACCAACATTCCTAAACTAGGTGAAGCAGATCCCGTGACTCCCATGTGCTCATTCATGACTCCACCTGAAAATAGTCAACAACGCTTGCCATTAAGGTAAACCGGGCGAACTAAAACAAATAGAAAATACGGATTGACAAAATAGGCTAAGTACGATAAGTGATGTAAACTCAATTTATTTGTAAACATGCTTTTAAAACCAATTCCAATAATAAATCCAATAATTCCAAACTCATGATTTAAAAATATTCTCCAAACAATTCCAATAATTTATTCGATAAAAATGATTAATAAAACCAATTCCACATTTTAAATCCAATTCCTCACCCAAGTGTGCAAACCCCCCAAGCTAGTCTCCTTCTATTGCAAGGCTATTCTTCAGGAAAGACTCGGTCATACAAAGTCCAAAGTCTTATCAACCAAATCCGCATAGTGGGATTAAAAATCAACATGCTTGTAAAACTTTAATAATAATAATTCAATAAATACTTTTAATTCAATAATTCCAATCTTTAAAATAAACAACTCAAGGCTCCGTGACATTCATTTCAACATGTGCTTTCAAAATCAACCTTTTTATAATACTTGAGAATTAAATCTCATGTTAAAACCTTTTACAAAAACAAAAAATCTTCCTTTCAAGATCAAAAGCTTTTATTAAATTCAACAAGATTTTCAAATCAATTCTTTTATTTAAAACATAATAAGTAATTCAAAACATGATATTAAAATCAATCCTTCAAATATATTTATTAAAACATGTATTAAAATCAATTCTTCTAAACATACTTTATTTTATAAATCATAATTCAAATCAATCACCAATAAAATCATATAAAACATAATATTCAAACCAATCACTTTCAAAGGTATCTAGCCACCTTAATGTACCTTTATTCCAAATAACAATCAACACTCCGCACTTTCAAAGTTCAATCACGAGTACACCTTCCAATTAACATAACCATAAGGTTATCACAATATCTTTAGACATAAACCCAAATCTAATGTGTTTGGGCAAAAAAACCCCTTTAAAAATAATACTTTAATATAAAATTATAACTTTGAAATAAGTATTTATATTTAAGAAAACTAACCATGAAAAAGATAAAGGAATAGGATTAAAGAGAATTGAATTTGCGTTAAAAAGAATTGGCAGAAATTGCATAGGCTATAACTCCTTCAATATAACTCTGAATTGGGTGATTCTTGAGCCTAAACTCAAGGATTCTTTGAGAGGAACAATACAAAGGTTGAGGGAAACCTTAAGTTCCCGAAAACTGGCTCCAAAGATATACGGCCTGATTTTCTTTTAGAAAAGAGAAAAAGAAAAGTAGGAAAAGGTTGAGGGAAAAGAAGAGTAAAAGACAAGAAGTGAATTGTGTTTTGGTGTGAAGAATATGAGAGGTATGAGGGGGGTTTTTATAGGCTCATGAATTAAAAAATTAAGGTAAGATTTTGTAGGAAAAATCATGGTAAATTTAGTTTGAGGAATTACTTGGAAAAGAAAGTTAAAAGAATTTAGAAAAGTCTAGTTTATGGTAATTAAGAAATGAAGAAATAAGGTAAGTAGGTAGTCATGAAATATTAAAAGGTAAAAGGCTTTGCTTGAGGAATAATTAAGAATTATTTAAGGTAAATAAATAAGATGATCAAATCTTTATGAGATGGAAAATAGGAATTAAGGAAATAAGGAATTTAAGGTAGATAATTAAAATAAAAAACTAACAAAATAATTAACATAAGGTGGCCGAAAATATTGAGCATATCCATGCTCATATTTTCGGATCTCCACTACAATTTTTAGGAAAATATTTGCTAGATTTTAAGGATTAGAAATGATTGGGTAAATTATATTTTGTAGGAAATAATTAATTAGAAAAATACCAATTATTCACTAATTAATTAACTAAGAAAATCAGATGTTGTACACTTAGAAAATTCGAATATTCTAGCTAATTAATTAAGGAAATTTGGCCCTTTTAAATTAAATAAGAAAATATAATTTTGCTTAATTAAAATATTTGAAATATATATATAATCCGGTTTTTAAAATGAAATAAATGGATAATAAATCTTATCCAAAATCCAAAATGATAATTGAGTTTTGAAAATGTTGTTGGCGCCAAAATTCAAATACTGTTTTGGCTCCAAAATTCAAATAGTAAAATAAATACTAAAATACCCTTTTAAGAAAATACTAATTAATTAAATATTAAATTAGAAAATACGTTTAAAAAATATAGGGTATTACAGTCTACTCCCCTTTAATAAAGCTTTGTGCCGAAACTTAGCCAAAATAAAAAGAAATCAATTTTAAATTCTTAGACTCATGCACATCCTAACCAGGCTTAAGATCATAAGTAACTCAAGAAAGACTCAAAATTACTCAAAAATGACTCGAAAGGCAAACACGCGAAACTCTATCGCCCTCTACCCCCTTTAAAAGGAGTTACGTCCCTGTAACTCGACCAACACATTAACTCATTAAATTAACACTTTATCAACAATCACCAATCAAAGTAAGGAAAACCAACAAGTTTCAAACATCCAAAAGAGCTTAGGTTTTTAAAATGATTTGTTTACAAAAGTAGTAAGAAAACTCGTAAAATATTTTTTATGAGTCATTCGAAAAATTTAAAATACTTACATTAGGAAAAATCGTTGAAAACACTGTAAAATTCTGATATATATTTATTTATAAGGTATAAATTGAAATCAAAATATTTAATAAAAGATTTTACAAGATTTATATATGAAAGTTTTCAATCTAAGTAATTATTTAAAAACAAGGAATACAAAACTTTTACTTAGAAAATTGTATATTTGAAAATTCATTTTTGCATACTTGTAGTAAAATACTTGTTTTAAAAAAAGTCTTACTTTTTCATAAAGAAACTCTATAATTACAATAATCACATATTCAACTTCATAGCAAGGACTGTCATAGGTACCAAGCATAAAATAAACATATCTCATCTTGACCCTATTATCGCTCCTAGACTAGGAACTTGTCTTAGGGTAACTTTCAAAAGTATTTACAATTTTCCCAACAATTTTATGAATCCTGGTAATACAACCTTAAAATGTAAACATTAACTTTTGGTCACTTCAAATAATACTTTGCCTTTAAAACATTCATAAACTCGATCATCTTTTTTCATTACTTCAAATTCCTCAATTTGGTTGTTATAATCCATAACTTTTGTTTAAGGCAATTTATTAATAACTCAGTTGAACAATATACAATCATAAATTCTTCCATCATTAATAACCTCTCTATGTTAATTAACTTTGTCGTCATTCTCTTAGAGTAAAATCCTTTAATGAGTAACCATCTAAATAATCATTCCCTAACTAACTTCATTAAATCCCTTCATAAGGTGTTATCACTTCAAAATAAACAAATTCTTTTATCTCAAATATATTCCTTATACTGTCATTTCACTTCAATTTATTCAAAATCCTCTAACTTTGTATTAAGTTGCTTCAAACATTCAATCATCAACAATTTTGCTTTTAAATAATCATCACAATGCTCATCCTCACAATAATATTACTCCGTTATACTTTTCACCCTTAGATTCAAATTGTCATAAATTAATGCTAATATCAAAATTCATATCTCCCAAAAATACATAACTTATTCCAACACTTATATAGAACTTTCAACTCATCATTACCACAAATAATATTTTCATGCTTATCATAAATCAGATTCCAAAATTAGTAAAGACTTGATGACACTAATCCTCTAAATATTCATGATAACAATCCAAAATAACTCCTCATTTATCCCATGGTAATCATCAAATCCTTTAATCTCAAAATAACAAACTTAACCATATTGACCACATGTAAACTTTGAATGATTTAAATACTTGCCACATGTCACATAATTAATTAAACCATATAAGGTCAAAGAAATTAGTCAACAGACTATATCGAACTTATATAAAATTCACACTTAAATGGATAAACCAATACAACAACTTATTTAAATTCACAATCATATATTTCGAAATACGATTTTAAGAAGAAATATATAAAACAAACACATCTATTTCCATATAAATTATTTACCAAATTCAACATTAGGAACACTCATTAAATAATTCTCACTCCACCAATAATCTTGAAATTCATATATTACGTCATGTAAACCATGTAAATATCATATATACACACAATTTCATAATTTGCACATGAAAATAATTATTTCCAACTTCCACTTGATATAAGCAAATATGTATCTTCCACATTGGAATTAAAATTCCGTAAAACTTTAACATGCACTTAGAATCCGAACAATTATGTTTCTCATGAAAACTTCACATGAACCTTAAAAATTAATGATATTATAATTCTACTTTTGAGGGTCGCATAGAAGGATTCAAAAAGCTTGAACCAATAAAAATTCTAATAACATAGAGAACATATCAAATCATTAGAGCTTTCACATTCATAATTATTCATTATGAAAACACACCTCTGAGGAACATTTCCTCCATTGCTACTAGTTCCAATTTGTGGTCCATTAGACTGAGGTGGCTTGAATGGGTTCTTACGACTCTCTTGAATTTTCCATGCCTTGACATCATATTCCATCTTGAAGCACTCATATTCACGGTGTCCCTGCTTTTGACAATAATGACAAGTCACCGGGTTACTTTCACAGTCTTTCCCAGGGTGGTTCTTCTCACACCTTCTATAAAAATACAGTCTCTTAGGTTTCTCACTGTTTTCTTGATCTCCATTTCCTCGAACATTGGTTTCCTGTCTATCATTTCTTTTCCCAAAATTCCCTTTGTTTTCCCTCTTATCTCCATTGGGCTTATGCCTCTTTTCACCCCCGAGAAAAGAATTCCGTCTCTTCCTTTTCTCTCCAGAATGCTCCATCTCTCTCCCCTTGATTCTGTACAAGTGGGTTGCACAGCCATAGACTTCATCTAGGGTCTCAAAAGTAACTCCCCCTAGATTCCCTTGGAGGGTTAAGGTTAGGCCTTGATCAAATCTCTGAGCTTTCAAGGTTTTAGTGGGAACTACTTCCGGGGCAAATCTCATTAACTCAATGAACCTGTTGTAGTACTCACTGATATTCATGTTCCCTATTATCAGGTTGGTAAACTCCATACACTTCTTCTTTCTCAGGTAGAAGGGGTAAAACTTCTCCCTCAAGGCTTCCTTAAACTCATCCCACCCAAAGTTAGGCCTCTTCAACAACTCATCCTTCCTTTGGGTCCACCACAAGTCAGCTTCCTCCGTTAGATAATAAGCACCATTATTCACCCTTAACTCACTTGAGCAATTGATGCCGTCAAACATCTTGTCAAACTCAGCTATGTAGGTTAACTTCCTAAGGACCTTGCCTACTTTGGAACCAGATCGCCTATTTCCCATTCTTGAAGACATAATTTCTTGTTATTCACAGCATTCTTGAAAATCAAAAGGAATGCACCATGAAAACACTTAATTCATTCCAAAATATAGAAAAATTGAAACAAGAATAACTTCACTTAAGGCATTTATTGAAAGCATATAAAAGTAATTCAACCACTTAATCTGAATTGTCATAATCAAAGCCTTCATTGGAAGGATCATAATCTGGATCATCATTTTGCCTTACCATCCACTCAATAAGCTTCAATAACTGGCCAAGTGTAGTAGGAAATTTAGTTGATTAAGCTGGGTTGTTATCACTATATTTTGGAGCATGGCTTGAGCTTTGAATTGGGTTATAAATTGGGCTATAGTGTGGGCTAGAAAATCCACAAATTGGTTTAGAAGAAATAACGTTGGACCTTTGGAGAAGTGGATGATATTTTAGGCTTGGTAATCTTTTATATAAATATGAAGCATCATGAACTTTTAGCCTTTTGTAATGTGAAAATTGGTTTTTGGGCTTGGACGCGTACATAAGGTAGAAGTCTCATAACTTGGAGTAAGAGAAGGAGAAGGATAATTCTTATGTCTTTCAGATGGTGGTATGGATTCATAAATGGAGGAAACAAACTCCTTGTGAAGTCTTGGATAAATGAAAGGGTAGTTGGAGTTCAAGTATTGAAGTTAGTAAAGTTATTTCAAGGTTTGGTTCTCCCAAACTTTGGTTGTTCCACAACTCTCCTCCTAGGTTCATAGTCACGTTTAAGGTAGTAAAATTACTTTTGAATTGAGTCAAGGTTGCTAACCACTTTCCTTCATGATGGTGCTTCTCATTCTCAAAGAAAGTTTCAAACTTTTTAACTTTAGGTCAAAGGACTAGAGCTAATAGTACTAGCCATGGTAGTTGAGTGAACACTTCAAGGTTAAACTTCTCATTAAGAGGTAGAACAAGGGTGGTTATCTTAGTCACAAAATTATTAACATGTACTAATTCCTTCAAATTTCAAGTAATAAATATTAAAGAATCTACTTCTTTACTTCATCTAACATCTATTTAATCATATAAATAAATTAATTGAATAAACACATTAATGTTATTCCACATAAGCTATTCAAATCAAAACTCAATGAATTCCTTGTATATGAAGCAATACGTATAAATCAACAAGTATAACTTAAGATGACTCAACTATGAGCATTCAAACACCATAATTTTCGGACCTCTCATCCTCTTTTAAATAATATAAATCAAAGAATTCCTTCCTCATATCATCAATAATTTTTATATTGTTTACACATATAAATTATCAAAACAACTCAACTCATAAATTCCATTTGTATAAAGCAATACATACTCAATAATAGACCAAGCATAACTCAAGATCACCCAACCATGGGCAATAAACTCAAAAAAAAAATTTGGACCTCTTGACCATAAATCAAGGTGTTATAACACCAATTTAATACACCAAATTAATGCACAACCAATCACACTAACTCAAGCTTTGAAATAGTTTCAATTCTTTTTGTTTTCAAAAATAATAATAATGTACTTGAGTCATGATATAGGACGGTCGAGCCCGCGTCTCCCAGGTAAGTTACCTACAGCGTCGAGATGAGCCTTACCTAGATAGAGAGTCATACCCATTATAGGCCTCCGTAGAGAATCCAAGCATTATTTTCACAATCATCTTTCCACAAATAGGAAAATAGTTTTTATTTAATAATAATGCTATTGAACTTCACACACAAACGCGAAACTCTATCCTATATGCCTTCTTATGTCTACCCACAATTTTTATTTTTTTCCAAATTATAATCTTTTTAGGACTAAAATATCTTATACCACTTTTTAACACCCCCAAATCTCCTTGTATAGAAATACCAGTATAATACGTATAATTATACCATAGAAATAGATTTAGAAGTATTCCGCCGCGTGATTACGCAAGGCTACTCAAACTACTTAACTCAATAACAAAACTTGTAGCGGAAAAACTCAACTTTCTTTTATTAATACTTATCAAAATAGTAACATTGTTATGAATACTCAAAATAAAGACAAAACCAACATTCCTAAACTAGGTGAAGAAAATCTCGGGACTCCTATATGCTCATTCATGACTCCACCTGAAAATAGTCAAAACTTCTTACCATTAAGGTAAACAGGGCAAACCAAAACAAATAGGAAATATGAATTGGAAAAATATGCTAAGTACAATAAGTGAAAGACAATGTAAACTCAATTTATTTGCAAACATGCTTTTAAAACCAATTCCAATAATTAATCCAATAATTCCAAACTCATGATTCAAAACCAATTCTCAATATTCTCAAAACAATTCTAATAATTTATTCAATAAAAATGATTAATAAAACCAATTCCTCATTTTAAATCCAATTCCTCACCCAAGTGTGCACATCCCCCAAGCTAGTCTCCTTCTATTGCAAGGCTATTCTTGAGAAAAGACTCGGTCATACAAAGTCCAAAGTCTTATCAACCAAATCCGCATAGTAGGATTACTATCAACATGCTTGTAAAACTTGATTAATAATAATTCAATAAATCCTTATTAATTCAATAATTCCAATATTTAAAAAAAAACAACTTAAGGCTCCGTGCTATTCAATTCAACATGTGCTTTCAAAATCAACCTTTTTATAATACTTGAGAATTAAATCTCATGTTATAAACTTTTAAAAAATCAATAACTCTTCCTTTCAAGATCAAAAGATTTTATTAAATTCAACAAGATTTTTAAATCAACTCTTTTATTTAAAACATGATAAGTAATTCAAAACATGATATTAAAATTAATCCTTCAAATATATTTATTAAAACCTGCATTAAAATCAATTCTTCCAAACATACTTCCTTTTATAAATCATAATTCAAATCAATCACCAATGAAATCATATAAAACATGCTATTCAAACCAATCACTTCCAAAGGTATCTAGCCACCTAAACGTACCTTGATTCCGATTAACAATCAACACATCGCACTTTCAAAGTTCCACGAATACACCTTGCAAATAACATAACCATAAAGTTATCACAATATCTTTAGACATAAACCCAAATCTTATGTGCATGGACTATAAAACTCATTTAAAAAAAATAATAATTTAATATAAAATTATAACTTTGAAATAAGTATTTATATTTTAGAAAACTAACCATGAAAAAGATAAAGGAATGCGATTAAAGAGTATCAGATTTGCATTGAAAATAATAAGCAGAACTTTCAGAGGCTATATCTCCTTCAATGTAACTCGGAATTGGGTTATTCTTGAGCCTAAACTCAAGGAATTTTTGAGAGAAATGATTTTCTATGAAGTAGCAAAACCACAAAACTTTCCAGAAGTGCTCGAAAACTAGCTCCAAGGTCTACAGGCTTATTTTCTTTGAGAAAAGAGGAGAAGAAAAGTAGGAAAAGGTTAAGGTAAAAGAAGAGTAAGAGAGAAGAAGAGAATTGAGTTTTGGTGTGAAGAATATGAGAGGTATGAGGGTTTTATATAGGCTCATGACTTGATGCGGAAGCATTCAAGGTTTCCTTTCTTGGTCCGTTTCTTTAATGTTTCTTAGATTAGATTTTGGCTTACAAGTTTTTACCTTTCACTTGAAAGAGTTTTTCTTGTTTTAAGCGTTAGGATTTCTATTTTGATTAGGAATTGTTTTGGTCTAAAAAGTTCCTATTTGAATTAGGACTTGTCTTTAGCAAAAGAGAGTTCCTATTTGAATTAGGACTTGTTTTTAGCAAAGTAAGTTCGTAAGTTGATTAGGACTTGACTTTGGTTTTTAGGCGTGTCTAGGAGTTTTAGGAGGATTGAATAACCTAATCTAAGTTGAATTAAACTTAGTTAGTTTAGTCATATCCGAATTAGGAACTTGGGGATCAAGTTTCGGTTTTCTTAGGTTTTCTAGGTCAAATGGGATTCTAATTCAATTAGGATTAGTCTTCTAATTTGATTAGGGTTAGAAGTAGTTTTTTGAGTCTATAAATATAGGTTGTAAACTTTGAATTATACAAGTTTGTTTTTGTTGATTAAAGCTTTATTGCTTGTTAATTTGGAACGTTTCTTTCCAAGTTTTCTTTGTGTTTGACGAGTGAAGTTAAACATAAAAACCCTTAGATTAGGCGAGTGAAACCTGATTTAGGAGAGGTTAGATTAATTAGTGAGTGAAGCTAATTCAAACTATCCTCAAAAAAAACCCCTAAATCACGAGATTAAGGTGAGTGAAGCCTTGAAATCAGATTTAGAACCCTTAGGTGAAAACAAACGAGTGAAGCTTGTTTAAACCTAAGACCAAACGAATCAAGAAACGCATCAAATGGTATCAGAGCTATTGGTGTGATTATTGATTCGTTATATCCTTGTTCTTGAGCAATCAAGAATCAATTCGTGCTAGTTTCTTGGTTCTTGTTCTTCTCGGCGCAGATCTGGGCCAGTTGGAAGTTTTAGGTTACTGCGAATTATCTACTTGGTATTTTTTGGTGATTCCACTTCTATTGTGTTACAATATCTTTAGAGTTTTTTCCTATAAAGTTTCAATGCGTTTGATCAAGTAACGAGTCCTAGGGAGCTTCAAACTTTGGTCGTTTTGTTTCTGGACGAAAATTCTGGAACGACCAAAAGTTTTTTAATTACTGCGAATTTTCTATTCGTTTTTTTTCGGTGACTCTTTTTGGGTTGGATTCCTATTAGACTAAAATTATAGCCTGTAAAATTTCGTGGTCATTAGATAAGTGACGCAAAATCTACAGCAACAAACATTCGAGGGAAGATTACTGATTGTGCGCAAATATGGTGAGTAAATCAACGGAAACTCACTTGCTTGAACAAATGGCTGCTTTGATGGAACAAAACATTACTTTTATGAATCATATGAAGAGTCTTCAAGGGGAGATGTTCAAATTTAAGGCTAAGGCTTCGGGAGGTTCTATTGGTAGTGGTGGATACAAGAAGGATGAGGAGATCAAACTAAGTGATCTTCCAGAATTCGATGGTACTTTA